GAGGAAAACTCCTGAGGAAGCAAAAACACCACAAAATCCCAAGTTTCTTCTACCAGTGCCAAAGAAATACTGGTACTGGCAGAGGTCAAGCAGAGCCAGTTCTGTGGGTGGCACGTTCACTGTGTTTCTCTGTGCTAAATAGGAATTTTGTGGAGCAGGGTTAAGAGGAATATCTGGTAGATACAAAAGCACTCTGAGTCCAGCTAGACATTTTAACGCAGCATAAAGACTGCGACAGACACAGATACTTGTGTCCCGATAGACATAGGACATGCACAGTGGTGTTTGTCTAGACTCATAAAGCAATTTGAGATTTCTTGAGAGCTATTACATTAAAAGTCTTGACAAAGCTCTGAATTACAAACCCATTTTCTTTCCATTTCTAAATAAAATAACAGCATCACTTAGTGAAATCATTTTAGGCAATGTACCTAGACTCAGACTGATCTCTGTATGATGGTTATAAAGTTAAACAGGGCATAACTCTAACTCTCAGACTATTTTCGTAAGTTAAGATAAGCTATAGCTATGTTTCTTTCCAATGCTTAAGCAATATAACAATTAAGAATTGTTAGCACTATGTTTCTTCCTTTCTAGATTGAAAGAACCAAATTAGGTCATTTCTACCTGCTAGCAAAGAAAAATAAAATTTAACTATGTTCTTTCCTTCCAGTGACGTAGTGATATTAAAAAAAAAAATACCCCAAACTAAATCAAAACCAAACCATAAAATAACAAAACATTAGTTGTTTGGTAAATAAAAACTTAGGTAAACATGCCTGTTCTATAGGTAGCAAGAAAAAAAGTAGCTTCTTCACTGCTCTACACTGAAGTAGATAAAGTCCATTTACCCATGTTTCTACTTGACTACCCCATGGCTCTCCATCTTGGCCTTATATTCAAAACATATTCAGATATTTTTACTACAGACATTTATTCTTATATTCTGTGGCTGTAAATACACCACACATGAGTTTAGGTACAGCAGTACCACTGAATTTCACAAGGAATGGAAAACCTGGCAGAAAACTCAGATTACTCACCACTAAGTCTCTTCCAAATGATCTGGCAAAAGCCTTCCACATTTTATGTCACTAAATAAACAGAGAAGCCAAACGTTTTGAAGTTTCAGCCACTAGGGACCCCCAGTGACGTGAAAGTTCCTGGAATGTCATTTGACCGGTTATACCAAATGTGTTTTTTAATTTGTCCCTGAATAGAGCTTCTCCTTTAAATAAAATAGTAGGCAAGAATCATCATTCTTTAAAAAAATCTTCTAAATTGAAATATTAAAATTTTACTCTTTTGTGTGCTTTTGGGGACATTTTGCTGAATGGAAAATGAAATAGAAAATCCCCTACAAAGCAGAAAACACCAAGGCCAAGGGGATGCCGAGGACAAATGACTGAAAATCATCTATCAATCATATCTGAACTGATGCATCTTCCTAAAAATACACTAAGAGCGGAAAAATAATAATGGAAACTATCCCACTCTGTGCAAATCTGTAGGGAAAAAAAAACAACTACAAAAAACACAAAAACAACACACCACCACAAAACCAACAGATAATCTCCCCTTTACTTATACCTGCAGCAAGAAAAGCAAGGTGTAGTGCTTGCTGCCTGTGCCATGTGAGCGGCGATTTAGAAATGCATTTACCAATAGACTCCAGACCATCTCACATATGGGCACACACTATTCCCTGTGGTGCTTAGTCTTTGCCATTACAGAGTAAAGGGAGTTGGTAGAGTTTCACCCTAACCCCATTTAGATCCTGTCTCTCTCGGCGCCATCCCCTCCCCGCCCTCCGTACGTGGGAAGCCGGTGCTTGCCACAGGGGAATGACCTAGAGGCTGATCTTGCAAAGCAGGAAGATGGGAAGGGCCCCAGTTAAGAAAACGTTATGGGAAATTCACAGCTGAAGAAAATGTGAAAGATCCATTGAAAGAAAAAGGACTGAAAGAACGTTTTTTAAAACCCCATTAGCTTCAATGAGAAGTAATATGTGATTAAAGGTAAGCACATAATATTGTGAATAAGAATTTTTGAATGACCCCTTAGATCTACATCAGTCTCATCAACATTATCTAAAGTGGTGGAACCAGAAATTATTTCTGGTAACCTGAGGCTAAATTACTTGAAAATTAAACTGTATGATGAGTAAGGGACAATGTTAACATGTAATTTTCTATACAAGTTAAAACTTAATTCTCTATACATGTTAATATAATTCTCTAACATGAATGTTAGAGATCTACAGTTCCCTCTCTTTCTGTCAGACAAAACAGAACCTAAATCTTCACCTCACACACACAAAATCCTTAAGGGTCTTTACTATTGCTAAACTACTTGAAAATTAAACTTTATGATGAGCAAGGGACAATGATTCATGTTAGAGATCTCTAGTTCCCTCTCTTTCTGTCAGTCAAAACTGAACCTAAGTCTTCACCTTACACACACAAAATCCCTCAGGGTTTTTATTATTGCCCATTTTTACTACTTTATTTGTAGGTTTTATTTTCTTCTTAAGACTAGGTAGAAGTTATCTAATAACTATATTTGCCCACATCAAGACTTAATAAAACCCTCTTAAAAAAATTGATGGCCTCATAAAGTATCAGTCAAACTCGCAGAAATCACATTTTTCATACAGTTAGGGTATACAACCAGTTTGACTGAGCAAATCCACACAAGAAAACCTATGTAGCTTTAAAACACCCACAGCACATGCTGTCGGCTCTCGTCACCCTGTGTCTAAGTGTTGTATCCTGCAGCATCCCATTCACCAGAACAGAGTCAGCACAGATGGTAATGTCTCCCAGCACTGTTGAGTGAGTTGAGGGCTATGTATGGGGAAGGTGGCCACGTAGGTGATGCCCAGACTGGGGCAGCCACAGAGTCCTGGTCCTGTGTCCCAGCAGTGGGTAGAAAACACCCCGAATTCCAGACACAACAGTCAAGGTCCTGTATTCATGAGCAGCAAGACAACCTTTTCATAGTGTCGGCTTCTTATTCATGTCAGATATTTTCAGGGTGTTCACCATTTCCTTGTTGAAAGTAAAATGTGAGTATAAAAAACCCTAATCTTACAATCTTTGATAACTTGACTCTCCATAATTATACTGGAGTTTCTGGTGCTTTTTTTTTTCATTTAAAATGTTAAGGCAGGGCTAGTACTGTAGCTCTTGTCCTCTTTGTCTCCTTATCTCTAAGCTTTATGCACATTCTGAGATACAGAGATCTGTTAGTAAAACAAAAAATTTGCCACAGGAATTTTAAATTTATTCAGCATTTAGGTTTTGGGTATTTTTTCAACAAAAAAAGAAAAAAGAATATTTATACATTCAATATTTCTTGCCTTTGCCCTGGTATTCCACTTCTACCTTGTTTTCACAATGCACTCTGAAGAGAGGGGGAAACAGCTTCACTACAGAATAAGAGGTCATTAGTATCTTTGGCTCTTCCTAATCTGAAATTTTAAATGGTTTTATTACTTTTATGGAGTAAATTTGCTTTTTTCCCCCCTGAAACATCCTATTCTACAGTATTCTATTCCACACGGTTGTACACTTTTACACTGGAAATCTGACTTGGTTGTTCCCAACAGTATTTTTCTAGTAGCTCTTACCTTAAGAAAAAGTTATTAGAGTTTCAGCCCAAATATCTTTAAGCAAGTCAAAAATGTTTATGAAATTAGATAAATTCAAGTATTTCTGGAAAGAGGAAAAACACTGAAAAATTGAGCAAGTAATAATTGCACAATCTCTTTGACTGGTGCTTCTAAATTACTGCCATGTTGGAAATGCCAGACTGGGAAACTGGATCTGTCTCTCCATATCCTGGGACTGGCAAAAGGCAGAACACAGCACCATCATTTGATCTGAGTAAACTTTACTTAATCACTGAATGCCTGCTGTGTCCCTTCTATGTCCTTCCGAAAGACTGTACAAATGGGAGATACAGATGGAATGATATATGTGGAATTATGGGTTTGGAATAAACCGTAAAATCCTGCTGTTCAGATAAACTCCTCTCTGAAGTCAGAGATACTTTAAAATAGTCTATGGTCCATTGTACAACAGTAACAATGGTTCTGAGGCATGAAGTGGGATCTAAACCTAAATGCTCCCAAAGCTTAAAGCTCTTAACATACAGCATTTTGGATCAAAACTAATGCTACAACAGAAAACTGCTTTTGTTCTTAATCTTGTGGTTTCTGATCAGATCCAGCTCTAAACGCATATGACCTGGCTGCCAGCTGAAGGAGCCATTAGCCCTTGAAGGAGCGTATTCCTGGTTTGAAACCGCACGGACACTCACATGTATTGTGCTTTCTTAACAACTGCTCTGTAGCTTTCACTATCACATGCATTTAATAAAATTGCTTTTCAGCATAAGCTGCATGTTGATTTTACAGAGTCCTAAATTTATTAAAGGTTTCCTTGCTAGTCAACTGATGTGTTTCACCAGGGATTTTGATTACAGATCTCAGAGCTAGCAGGAAAGCATTTTCAGCCCTGTAGGTATTGACTTGACTCTTACACTGAGTTTTCATATATTGTTTATAGATATGAACCATAATACTATATATGTTCTAAATTCACTGTAAAGCAAATGTTAAACCCTTCTGTGTTTGGTTTCCTCTAGACTACAACCAAAGCTATTTGAATGCTTTAGGATTTGACCCTCCTATCTGCAGTGGAGGCTTTTTCCCCCAGCCCAGAAAAGAACAGAATTAAAACACTTACAGTGGTTCCTTATGTTGGTGCAGAGCTTAAAGATGATCAGTGGAGGAACAAAAAAATGTGAGTACTACAAGGAAAATCTGCAAATCAAAAATCTGTAGCAGACAATGCCACAATCACTTAATATATGGCAATATATCAGCAAGGAGAATAATGTCCTGGAAACCTCCATGTTTAAAAATGGAGAAATAAAATTGAGAAACAAAGAGATCTGTACTGATAAAGTCACAGAAGTGGTGATTCAGGAAGCAAACCTGTGCAGGAGTGGAGGCAGGACTTCCAAAATACAGGGGCAGAGCAGGCAAGCTACTTGTTTTTCTCCTGAATTCTCTGCAACAGGATTTCCTCATCACATCATGTGGGGCCATGTAAATATGCCCCCTTTGGCTACGTGACAGGAATCATTTCCTCCACTGTGCTTATGGGGAAGGAAAGCAAAAAAAAGAGAGGTCAGGATCTTGGGGATTTGTATTAGCAGATAGCACTTAGTCAGGAAAAGGATAGAGATTACAGGGGAAGTGGTGCTATTGGTCTGTAATCCTTTTCTGTCACACACACTTTTAATATTAATCATAAGAAATATATATAAAAAAATAAGCTTTATCATTCTTCACTTTCAATTTGTAATCTATGCTTAATGCAGGGCACAAAGATTTCAAAATGTACCTAGAAGCCCACAAGCTGAAATTTTATTACCATCCACAAATGTGAAAGTAAAAAATCACCTCCCCAAGTTTTCAAATGTTTCTGTGCATATCTCCACCCCGAAGAAAGAAACATGGGAAAACAGGTGTTTAAAATCATGGGAACTGTATTGGCATATTCTTAGCTGTGGTCTCTCTGCTGTCATGTACTTAAATGCTGAATAATAGCCTAGATAGTCTACCTTCAGTATTACTTCTCATGGTCCCACACAACCAAGCAGAGTTAAAATGGTATGACACTGTGCCTAGGGCATTTTTTCCCTTTCTGAACTCAAAGTTCAAGACATCCATTTTTAGCAGCCTAAGAATCATGGACCTTGCCTAAATGAAAGCAAGGCAACAGCTGTGCTGGAATCCTTTATGTGCTGTAACCCCATTCACATGAACGCAGTTTTGCCAGTTCAAAGGCTTAAGCTTTCTAAACAAGAAAGTGAAAAGCCTGCTCCAGTATAAAAAGATCCAATGTATCTACATCCACACTAGGGACTGCATCCCCAGCAAAAAAATTGCACTGCAAGCAAAGCTTTAACCTGGAAGAAGCACATCATGTTCCTTCACGCTCTGTTTGCAGGAATTGCTGTGATTCTTCCTGATAACACTTCTGTGTATCTCAGTACTCCAGCAGAGCTGGGACCCTAATTCATGCCTAACACAGTCACAGAAAAAGCTCAGCCTCCTTCAGCAGAGCCATGCCTAAGCATGTGAAGGACTTGGCGGTCCCGGAGGAAAGGTCGGACTCGAAGATCTTAAAGGTCTTTCCCAACCTAGTTAATTCTATGATTTGCTAGTTACTCACTGGCTTTTAGTCACCCTTTTTATTTCCACCCTGCTCATGAAATTATTGAGCAATGCCAGGACTCACATTAATCCCTACTGAACTCTATTGGAAATAGCACCACCTGATCACCTTTTCTACTGATAGATACTTTTTAAACTCCGTTACCAGTTTTTCATGTATTTTACATGTGTGCTTACTTCTGTTGCAATGTGATGTGTTTTAAAACAAGAATATCATTCACCGTTAAGATAAACCCTTCACCCATTTTTAAATACATGCATACTTAGTCAATTTTAGAAATTTTAGACCTATTTCTTGTCATGTTGATATGACTAAGGAAGCTGGGAACACAATATCTAGAAGTACATGAGGTTAACATAACTGATAAATGATTTATTTAAAACCTTCTTGTTCTGGGCATTGTTTCATTGGCATTGATGCAAGTTATATCAGTTTACCTTCGCTGGCTCTGAATTTCATCAATTTAATTTCACTGATTTAAAATCATGCTGTTAGTGCTGTGTTCAGATCAATCCTTAGCTTACAAAAATTTACCATGCATCTTATAGTTCTGTCCTGAAGGAACCACAGACAAATGTTTCCATTGGAAAACTGTAAGTATTCAATAAATGTACTTCAGTAGTATTGGCAGCATAAAGAAAGCCTACAGCCATTTCACATATGAGCTGCTTAAACAATAGTCTGCTAGTATTAGACCCTTTCACATGCAAAAAGTTCATAGGTGATAATAATAAAAATTTGTGATTGAAATTATTTGTTGATCTCTCACAGTTGCTCTCTTTATTTTTAAAATCCCATGTATAAGCAGAACAGATCACTTCAAGTAGCTGGTGAGGTCATACTAAGTCAAGCAATCACAAGTAGTCAGATACCTCCTGATCTAATTAAAATAAAGAGCAATCTTTAATGAAATTTTATTTAGTAATTTTTCTAAAATTTGACACTGTTGTGTAAAAGTGGCACTGCAGAGTATGACGGTGATCATTTTCTCCATGAGTATAATTCAAATTTATCTGAGACCTAAAGTCATGCCAATGCTTTTTACTCTGGTGTTACACTGAGTGATTTAGACTTGCTTTTTGTCCTCATGAACAGAGAGTCGTGTAGCCATCACAGCTGTTGGCTTCCCAGCAGACACAGCACATGAGTGCCTCCTTCTGAAGGCTCTTGTGATAACTTGGTGTCCTGGGCTCAGCAGTGGCAGTCATTTTTCTCCCTCTTAGTAGCTGGTGCAGTGCTGTGGTTTTGACTTTCAGCCTGGAAGCAGCGCTGATAACACCAATGTTTTTAGTTACTGCTCAGTAATGTTTCGTCTGACCAAGGACTTTCTGAGTCTCATGCTCTGCCAGGGAGGAGGTGAAGCAGCGATGAAGCAGAGACAGGACACCTGACCCAAACTAACCAAAGAGGCATTCCACACCACAGCACGTCACGCCCACTATATAAACTGGGGGCAGTTACCCGGAAGGGTTAGATCACTGCTGGGGTCGGACTGGGTATCAGTTGGTGGGTGGTGAGCGGTTGTATTCTCTTCCCTTGTTATTTTCCTTATCATTACTATTATTGGTGGTAGCAGCAGTGATTTGTGTTATACCTTAGTTACTGGACTGTTCTTATCTCAACCCATGGGAGTTACATTCTTTTGATTCTCTTCCCCATCCCTCTGGAAACTGGCAGGAGGAAAGGTGGGGGCAGTGAGACAAAGGGCTGTGTGGCTGAGTTGCCGACTGGGCTTAAACACGACACTTCGCATTTCTGAGATTTCTTTCTTATGTTGCTGATAAGCAATACCAGATCCACAGCACAAACTGCAGGGCTTTCGCCACAGCCTTGTCTTTGCTGGCAGTCTCAGATTCTACTCTGACAGCCTAAGGATTTTTTCTTTTCTGTCCAGACAGTATCTTCAAATGTTACGGTTTTTTCCCCAGTTATGCTTCACTACAATAAGAGATTTATGATGCCCTTTCATTACTCCGGGGATTGTTTCAACATCTCTTTTTCTTTTTCTCACTCCACCCAGCACTTAATCTGCACACCAAGCAACTAGCCTTATTGTTAGGCAAAACATACTAATGCTGCTTCTAAAATGACTACTAACCCCCAACTTTTGTAGAGAGAGTGCAAACCATTTCTCACCTATATTTATCAAATTCCTATCTGAACTTTTCTTTACAAACAGTTTTCTCATGCAGTCTGTCAACTGCCCTGGCTGGCTTGCACTTTTTAATATTATTATTTTTGGCCTGTTTTAAAACAAGACATGTTAGATAAGAGAATATGGGAAAAGATTTCTAGGAACAGTTTTTTCAAGGCTGCTGAGTGCTACATGCAAAAAGACATGATGTTGTATGCAGACTTTTTACTGGCATGTGTACGAATATATGGCTGGTTTCAGCAGTATACAGTCATTCCTAGGGCAAAATACATGCCATTTAGCAACACTTTTTTCAATGTGTGCAGTGCCGTTTTAAGAAACAGCCTTTAGCTTAACTAGGGGGGCTCAAAGAATGCTCGAGGCAAACAAACACCCCACAGCAAAATAGTTAAAATACCTTTCAAGGAAGTCATGTAACTGATTCTGTTAATCGCTGCACCTTAGCAGCCCTTCAGACATGCCACCTGACACTGTGTTGTGTCATATTAGATGTGTAATGCAGCAAGTAAACTGTTAAATTGTATCAACTCAGTTTGCTGCCTGTTCCCATTCCTGATGCTTCTCAATCCCCATTGAAGCCAAACTATCTATAGAATAATCAATACAACATACAGAATAATCAATATACCACTATTTTAATTTTGCAGAATCACAATTCAGCCTCCTTTTTTCATCCAACTGTGAAGATGTGCTCAGCATGATAACTCTACAGTGAAGGTAGCCTCAGAGGCTGGAAAACACAGTGGGTTGCAAATTAGTCAAAGCCATAAAATTAACCTTTATTTTGGCCTGTGATGGTATGAAATTGGCATCATCTTACTCTGCAGAATGACTTACTGAGTATAAGCAGACATTACTACTTGTGTCAGTAATAAAACTAAATTTGTGGACAGGAATCAGATTTTATCATGGCTTTTCTTTCTTTGGTAGAATTGCCATACATGTCCTACCAAATATTTGCTTTGATACACTAAGAAAAATCCCACTGGAATTCTGAACACATTATCTGAACAAGGAAAAAAGTTTATATTCCTGTCTTCTTACACAAAGAGAATGTGAAGGTGAAAGTGGTTTAAGTTCCTGGTGTTAGCATATACATATAAAACCCTCAGCACACACATGCTATTCAGTAATGGTTACAGCCCAGCAGAGAAATTCCTGTGAATGCTGTGTGTTTACTAGTCAAGCAAAGTAAAATTAAGGAGAAGTATCTGAACACACGTAATTTACCTTTAACTATAAAATGTGCTATTGATTAGCTAATTTCTCATGATATGCTGGCTGTGGAAAGGACTGTTTTGCCCATGATATGGCAAATACTCAAGGATCAGCCAAGACTGGGGATTCACTGGCCCATGCAGTGCTGCAGCTGCAAACACTCCCTGTCACACACAGCTTGTAGTCCAAATAACTGAGACAGGAAAGGGTAAAAGGGGAAACAGAGATATAGGAGTATCTCATCCAAGGTCATACGGCTGGACAGTCAAAGAGCTGAGGCTAGAAAGGGCGACCCCAAGCCCCCACTGCAGTGCCCTTTCCATGAGACCATGCTGCAGTCCATGCTTGGCTCACAAAAGCAGCATGATTTGTTACAGCAACTCCTTGCAGAAGTTTTAAGTCTCAACAGAGCCACCAAGCACATAATGGTAACCTCTGCTGACAACAGTGGGGTTTGTTGAATTACAGAGACAAGCATAAGGAAGACTTCAAAATCATCCTGAAATCTGGCTTTAAGAAGCAGAGAAGCATAATTAA